GTGGACGAAGCGGAATCCAGCCCGGGGTCGTCACATGTGGTTGCCACAAGCCTGCCGGCCGCTCCTTCGTCGAATCTGCCGGCCGTTCCTCACTCTAGGCCTCTGGCCTCCGCTCACTCAAGCCCGCCGTGTGTGACGCTGTGTGTTTATATATGGTAAGACCATGGTTCTTTCTGGCATTGGCATGTCTGCACTTGTTTTCCTTTACTTAGGCATACACAAATAAATAATATTGTGACCAAGCCAGCATGTGCATTAGATATGAAATTGCATGAGTGTGGGCCTTTCTTCTTGAAATACTGAAGTCTGTGCATGGTGACTGTGTGGGGAGTAACAGTAAATCACAGTGATTTCAGTGCATTAGCTCTGGGGAGTGGGCACCACACACCATAACGGTAATTGAAAATGAAAGGGGGCGAGGACAGCCAGAGCTTGTGTGTGTGTGTGTGTGTGTGTGTCAAATGCACATGGGAATACTAGCTTGCCATGAATGCTGATGTCAAAACATGCCAATACACATTCTTTGTTAACAAATTTATATTTGTAGAAAAAAATTAACCAGCTCGGTTTGATACAGTTTGGAGCTAGAAGGACATGGAAAACTATGTGAAGTGAGTGTGATGACAGCTGTATTTTATATTGTCTTGTCATCTGCCAGCTGTCTCAGGATATAGGAAAACTAGAGGTGTCACTGTCAGAGAAGTTCATTTCTCAGAGGAACGCCACTGGAGATTTACAGAAGGAGATACAACGACTGGATCTAAAGTAAGAGCAATTAAAGCCACTTCTCAGTAGCAACTGCCATGGTATAATTGGTTTACATGTACACTCTCAGAAAAAAAAGTAGGCCTACAAACCAGAACGGCCAGGCACAGGAACAGTTTCTTCCCTCAGGGCTCAGGCAATCCATCTCATGAACACTTGACAATGTGGAACACACAACACTACTATACATTTATTTATTTAACACACATACTTATTTACATTTCAAATTTGCACATAACATACCTGTACATACAAACTGTCTATTTTGTATATTGTGTTTTTGCTGTCATTCTGTTGCACTATGGAGCTTTTGTCACTAAAGCAAATTTCTTGTATGTGTAAACATAACTGGCAATAAAGCTCATTCTGATTCTGATTCTGAAAAGCTGTCTCTGGGGCAGTACCATTTTAAAAGGTACACCTTTGTATCGTATTTACCCTTAAACAGTGCCTATTAGTATCTTAAAGTATCTTATCTTACATATTAATGATGTTTTATTAACAAGGTTCGGGAGGAGTGTGTCAGATACTTAGCCTATAATTAACACAGGTGGAGCGCACTCAAGTTAATCAACACCATGATATAAATACAGCTGACTTACCTCTATCCATTGACAGTTTATCAGCATCCCTCCTCCACCCCATCTCCTCACTTCGAGTTCATACTACACTTTTGGGGGGGCTGGGGGTACTCTAGGTTCGGGCCATTCCCGAGCTCGGAGCCCTTCCCCGGACAGCACGCCAAATATGCATTACCATACTTCAGCTAATTATATGTAAGCGTGAACTCGTGAAATACCTAAAGTGTGTATATATTAGTAAGATTCGAAAGAGCTTTTATATTTTTACTTTTTGAGAGTATAATATTCATTCAAGAATGAAACTAGTGGACTGTCTTTATGAGTCATTGAATCATTCACGTAACCAATGCAAGTAATGGCAATTAACAATGTCCATTAACAATGCAATACAAAAATTGATTTTTATTTATTGACATTAAAAACACAACTTTTTTGAAGATTTGAACTGGTGCAAATTCTGAACAGCAGTTAAATTCGGTAAGTTTCACAAAACAATTACTTAAAATATATACTGACTGTAAAACATCTGCTGGAGCATTTTGAAATAAATACTGATTACTTTCTATTGACTTGTAAAATGACAAGGAAACCATTTGTAATTTGTTTATATTAATTGTATTCATACTGTACAAAAATGTTTTTGATATGGAAAGTTTCATTAAGAAGAAACTAATTATTGTTTTACAGCTGACATAGTGTAAAAAATTCCTTCAAATGGAATGTTATTAGTTTTTTATTTTTTTGTACTCTGGCACTTGTTCTTGTACATTTTTAAAATGTTATTGTATTTAGCAATAAAAGAAAAACATGGCTCCTTGACATGCTCGAAAGAAAAGAGAAAAGATGAGAAACAGAAAAGGCCAAACACTATTGAATCTTGCATGTCTCATATAACCAAATGTGACATGCCAAGCTGGAATATACTGAAGCGTGAATTTAATTTTTCATTTATTTATTTTTACTTGGCAGACATGTTTTCAAGTGGTTTGGGCTGCGGGACTGCTAATATTTAATTGATAAAAGAAACAATAATCAGACCTGTTGCAGAAATCTATTTTAGGCCCCTAGTTTCTTCTAATAAAATTTCTATGTGAAGGGCACTAGTGAAGAGACTTGACAGCCTTGGCATCACTTATTGCGATACTTTTCCAACTCTATCAAATCTGCTGTCAGGAGGATTTGTTCTGTTGAGACTGATGTAAATAGGAAACATGAGAAGTGTCTGGTGTTTCAGCACCAAATGGCTCCCAGGGGAACCAATGTCTCACCAGATACGCCTCCAAATAGTGCAAATGCCAGTCTATGAGCTGCCACATGGGCATCATGGCATGTGCAAGGTGATGCTCTCCATCTAAGCGACAATATTAGCTCCTGACTGCATTGTGGAGCACAGATGGCAGCTTCAGCGCGCTGAAATGGAGCCTTGCCCATGATCCCAGTGGAAAACGTATTTTCATGGTGACAGAATCAAAGCAATTGGCTGGCTATGCTTGGCCTGTTATGTAATAGTGATGGGTCAAGATAGCTTACAGTGACTCATGAAGAGAAGCATATGGGCCAAAGACAAATAAACACATTGAGAAAGAAACCGGGAACTAGCATGAGCCCAAATGTGAGAGTGATGTCTATTCGACACAATTTAACCTTTATTAAAGGAGGTCGGGGCTAGTTGACACACTTTTTACTTTAATGAATATTCCTCAGTGTAGAGTTCTTTTTGAAAGTCAGTTTATATATAGTTTTGGCTACAATAAAAAAGCCATTGAACATTTCTGACAAACACTTAAAAGAGTTACGAAACAGCAAATACTTAAGAAGTAACAAAAATATCATACTACTGATTGGTATTGTTTTGTAAAATTTAAATGACAAAAAGACGCCTTGACCTGACCTGACATTTCCATAACAGTAAACATAAGATGTTGGAATTTATGTTATATCATAGCTTTGCCATAATCACAATATCTTAATGGCATTAGTTAATACAATAGAAGATTAATGCAATTGTAGTATGTAATGTGGTATGTATGTATATTTATGCAGCATCTCTAGGAGTCTGAGGGAGGTGGAGGAACAGACAGTGAGACTGAGGAAGTGGGCAGAGGAGCAGATGAAAACCACAGTTCAATCACACACAGAGAGCAGCCAGCAGCTGCGCACACTGCTGCAGGACAGAGTGGTAAATGTGTGAATGCGTCTTTCTGAGTAAATATAACAAGTGAGCTATGTCATAGTGAAATATCACTGTGGTATAACGTTTGTGGTTTTAAAGTCAAACTACAAATGAAAGGCCTTTGTAGAGAGCACACCTACTAGTACATTATGTATATACTTATATAAATTAATTAAATATAATTTATATATACAGTATATAGTTCAGTCATTAAACACTAGATGGGACAGACTGGTATGTCTTTTGCATCAAATCATTTACATGACACGCTAATTGGCCTCAGCTGATTCTGCAGCTATTAAGCTTTCTCGCTCAACATTTAAATAGTCTGGTTCAGTGGACTTCAGAAACCCTCCACCTCCCCCAGCTCCACCTGTCTGCTATGGTATTTATGTACACCTATTCATGCAGCAGCATATCTTACATGCTCATAGCAGCAGGTTTGTGCATCTATTGGCAGTAGAAAACTACTTGCTCTGCAGCAGCAGTGTGTAGCAGATCTAGTTTGGCAATACCACATAAATTTACATTGTCATATCTATTAACATGTTAAACTATATGTACATAATCTGTGCAAAATATGTACTTAGGTTGAAGTGGAAAGCGAGCTAAAGGAGAACATCGCTGTTCTTTTTAGTCATCTGGAAAGGTTGGAGGCACAGTTGGAGAAGGTGCGATCTTCTGACAGGACCAAGCGCTCAGAGAGCAAACTCAGCAGCAAGATCAACACTTTGGAGCAGTGCTTCAGAGAAGAACTAGAGCAGATGAGGAGGGAGTACCAGTCAGGCAAGTCTTACATTAGGATGACATAACCATAATAAGCCCTTAGAACATCTCAACTTGTTAACTACCATTCAAAAGTTTGGACTCCAAACTGTATATGAAAAGCTGAAGTATAATATAGACCGTTTTACTCCATCATATTTAGTGCCTCTCTGCCCACACCTCTGGAATGACAAATCATTGAAAGCCAAAATCTGAACAGTAAACTAGCACATCACATAAAAACAGACTGGACAGATTGTGTTCTAGCTGCCTGCCATGCAATACCAACCAAAATGAGCGGCCCAATTTATCTCTCTTGTGGCTGTTTTTCCAGGCTGTTTGCTTGTAAAATTAAAGTGCTAATAGAAAACAACGCCCAAATTGGGACTTAATCAGTATTTTGGCATCATTTGAAGCTTAATGTACAGGCAAGCCTGCTGGGTATCTTCCACCCTAGCAGATATGACATTTATTAGTTTATCTATATTTCCTTCCTGTTTCCAAAAGTTATAGACTGACAGATTACACCGTTTTCCAGGCATTCAGTACAAAAGACCAAATCAACCTCAATAAACAAACAGAACAAAGAATTCACAATCATTGTAACCTCCGGCCTTGAAATGTACTGTACAGTAGTACACGATTTCTGCTCTCAAATTCTCTTTGAGACTCCTGTGACGGACTGAAGGCAGGTGATGCATTATTGCTGAGACATCTAACACACACTTCTGCCACAGAGGTAATGCTCCCACAGCTTTCTGAAGGTGATCTCCTCTATTATATTTGCCAGGGTTCCATGCGGTTCATGATGCCATTGCGTCTCTGAGACACATTGGCAACACCAAAGCCAAGCTGGACAAAGGAGAGCTGCAACGAGACATCCGACAGATCCAGAGAAACATGGATGGACTGAAGGAGCCCTGACTGGATCATTCTTTTAGAAGACAAATATGCTGGAATATACAACCTGTGTGTGAACACCAAGTATGATTCAGCAGAATGTGGGCAGATGGACAATACAATCAAATAAGCTCTACATTTGTTTTCTAGATTGAAAAAAAAGGATTTAGTCAGCTTGCGTGAGGTCATTTCCTTTAAATCTCTTTTTGCTGGACCAGACTTTAAAATCAGATTCTGAGTGAACAATCATAGTTGATGAAATTCAATCAAGGTACAATTACGACAAATCCAAGATTAGAAGCACAATACTCATGCAGGCTCAATACTGAATGATAATGAAGATGAATTGTTCTGTGTTTGTCTGCACGTCCCCAGGCCAGTATTGATTGTAATGAATGCTAGAATAAACAAACAAGATCGCTTTGTTTTCATTTAAGTTTCCAAGCCAACAATGCATACGTGCAAAGCATAAATACACCCAACAAGATAAACAATTATCGTTATTTCCCACTTTTTTTCTGTTTTGGATATGTGCTTTAATATTTCTGGGACTCAATAGCCCTCAATCAGCCCAGTCGACCGTAGGTCAGTTCTGCAGAGATGAGTAAAGTCAGTTATTTGGAAATGACAGTGAGGAAAAACAGAGGTTAATTAGTTCTGCCAGTGCTTCTGTAGGGCAAAGATAATGATGCGTCAGATAAAAAGCAATTAATTTGAATTCTTGGTTTCTCTGACCATAAACAGACAATCTGAAGAGCAGATATCCCACTGCTGCACTTTCAAATGTGCCCAATAGTGATTTTGGATCCGAAGCAATGACTCTTTTGAGTTACATAATCGCAATAGCAGTAGATTTAGTATAGTCAGCTGAGCCTTGTGGTGATAATAATAATGGCGAAAAACTGTCACTTTGGGGAAGGCACATAAAAATAATAATGAATATCATTAATGTAATTTTTCATGTATCAACGCTCATGTGATTGCAATACAGTGAGCATAGGCTAATTCAGTTATACCATAAACTGCTATTAAAAGAGCCATTCATATAGATCACGTGTCTTTTTAAATTAGCTTAGCAGATATATCCGTACATAATGAAATGTACTTGGTCATGTAAAGACTTTCAGATTTGTAAACATTGATCGGTGAGTAAACTGCTCAGTGTGCAAGAGATGAAGCAGAACAATGGTGAAATGCAGGTCTCCTGAGGGATGTGAGGATGGTGGACTGTCTCAGCTGGATGGGTAAAGGCGTCTGTGGAAATCCATCAGTCTGCTGTCTCCTTCTGCTGTTGCATTCACCAACAGAGTCTACAAGCCCAAAATACAATGCCATTCTTAAAGGGGTCATGACATGGATTTGTAAAATTATTTTAATGTGTAACTTGAGGTTCACTTCATATTCACTTTAACAGTCATATATTTGAAAAATGATTGTTTTGAACCCTCACTCTGACCCTCTGTATAAAATGACGCTGGGGACCTTCTGAAGGCTCTACAGACGCAAATGTTTGTTTAAACCAAATGCATTAAAGTAAGTATTCCTTTACTCTTCCATTTGTCCTGTTGTCAGGAGTAGCTCAAGCGCATGGAGTACGTTAGAAAGTGAACAAGCACAAGCATCAGACTGAATGCCAGTGGGTGGGGCGTATAGTACGATGATGTAAAATGTTTCATTGATGTTCTAGACATAGTCATATGAAAATTTATTTGCCTGTGTGAAGTCACAAATCCCACAATATCCAAATAAGACAGTTTTGGTTTAACTTGGTTAGTTCCTTTTTTTTTTTATACTGGTGATGTTGTAAGCTACTATGACATTTGCAGGATGTTTAATGGTACAAATAATTCTTATATATAAAAAAAACTTGCTTGTGAATGTAGTTCATCTCATTAACTGTATTAGAATGGCCAATAGTTACCATTCAGACAATTACAATAACCGTTGAAGCAATTTGAAAAAAAAGTACATTTATAAAATAATTAGTGCAGTCAATCGAAATTAATCGCATCCAAAATAAGTTTTTATTTACATAATATGTGAGTGTACTATGTATATTTATATTATGTATATATAAATACACACATGCATGTATATATTTAAGAAAAATATGTCATGTTTATATATATTAAATGTTTATATATTAAAATATACATAGTACACACACATATTATGTAAACAAAACTTATTTTGGATGCGATTAATGGCGATTAATCATTTGACAGCACTAAAAATAACAAAATGGATAATGAAACACTGTATTACTATAGGTATTAAATAGGTATTAATCTTAATATAGTAGGTAGCTGAAGCTGAACTTTCAGTACGCTTTATTACATTGGAATCAAATCTGATAAGGGCAACACAAGCCTGAGTTACTCATTTGATTTCAAGTAGAGCGAGTGAATGCAACTGCTCACATCTATCAGCTCCAGGTCATCTTTGGCGTGCAGGTGGCGCAGGAGGTACCAGCGTGCCACTGATGCTATTGTTTCAGAGCCGCCTGAGGCTGAAGCATAAACTATTTTCTCCAACAGGCGACGGGTTTCCCTGTAGAAGAACAAACCATTATCAATCTGATCCTGACCCAGTTTAACCTCTGATATCATGAATAAAGGTGATATATTTCATATTTAAATAGACTAAATAAGAATGCAATACCAAGAGGAGGCAAACAATGAAATACAAACATGTGGCATGACTGATCTGACATGTTGACTGAATGTCACGGTGACAATAAATGTGAACACAAAACCCTACTAAAGCTATATGCAAAAATCCTCTCAGTGACAAAAAAGTAACTTGTGCTTTGTGAAATGGCCCTACCTGGCACCCATCTTTATAGAGAACTGCAGTAAGGCTTGGAAGAGCAGAGCTACTGGTGAGCTGCCCATCTTTAAAACTTCAGTGCTGGCCTCCAACACCAGATCCTTCCACTCAGAGACACAGACACCAGCCTGTTGTCAGAAGTACAAGTAGACATCTTTACACAGTGTTTCCTTGCATTGTAGAATGGTCTGTAAAGTTTGTGCAATGGAATGAGTAATTAAAAAAACCTTCTAAAACAAGGATTTCAGGATTTTAGATGTATTTTAGCTGGCAAAGTTCAGACTAATATATGACCGGAGTCTGGATACGCTGAAGGCTGACACGCTTTAATTAAAAGTAATGAAAGGCTAGCCACAAAGTGTCTAATTCAATTTAGCAGGCAAAGCTGCAGTCAGCTAAAATGAAGGCAATACGCTGACAGTGGATGGAGGGCAGGGGGATAGACAAAAAGAAAAGGGAGGGAGGAAGAGGAAGCAGAGAAAAAAGGGGAAAATGTGCAAGAAAGATGCCTGAAGGTGCTGTAAAAGGCTTAGCCCAAAATAATAATTTCCATTTTTATTAGTGGTCATACAGACACTAGCAGACAAACTAATTTAAAATGTGACAAGGAAAACATTAAGAAAAATACCAGATGTATCCAAATGTATTACAAATGTAGTAAAAAATGATTTAGAAATTGTACACAATAAATATATAAATAAAAACAATTCTGTGATTGCCTTTTCAGCAGCCATTACTCCAATTTCTTTTTACTATTCATGTTGAAAACTGTTGTGCTGCTATATATTTTTGTGTTAATTTGTGATACGTTTATTTTTTCAGAGTTCTTTGCTGAATAGAAAGTTCAAAATAACAGCATTTATTTGAAATAGAAATCTTTTATAACATGTCTTTAAAATGTCTTTACTGTCACTTTTGATCAATTTAATGCATCCTTGCTGAATAAAACTATTCATTGCTTTCAAAACACCATCTTACTGTCCCCAAACTTATTTTATGGAATTATAATTAAAAGTTAAATTAACTAAACATATTGGAATGAGCAGAGTGGTCTGATAACCTTGTGTTTAACTTTCCACTATTAGTCTGTCAACAGCACTACAATAGGACTCCTTTCTTTCATCAGGTTTGCCGCATGATTGTCTGCCATATTACAGTACATGCTTGTTTGAACAGCTTTTCATAGCTGTTCATCCATCCAGTCAGTGTTTTATGAAGACTGCAGGATTATCACACAGTGATCTCATGAGTTATTATGAGCTGAATCTACCCTGAGTAAACCGTTCCTCTCTGTCTAACAGACGGTTAGGACAGGATTCAGACTGCAGCTGCCATATATTTGTGTTTGAAATCCCACTGCACATCCTCTGATCTAACGTAAAGACTTGGGATTTGCAAGGTTTGACAGCTGTCTAGAGGTACTCCATCTACAAGAAGAACTATTAGAAGAAAGCACAGCAAACAAAAGAAATCTATTTTCACAAAGAAAGCCGTGCTACTTTAACAATTCTGCATTTTTCTTCAGTCATTAATATTCAGGTAAATTAGTTACTGCTTGAAGGTGACAAAATGGAAGCAGCTGAATCTGAAGTCTGAGACCATTTGTAGACTTTGTGTTTGACATTTAAACTTAATACATAAATACACACACACACACACACACACACAGATATATCGACAATTTATATTATATTAGATTTTTTTTATATTATTTACTTTTTTCAAAATCTGTCTGTTTACTTCTGTGTTTAAATACAAAAAATTATTTAAGTCATTCAGGCCACACTGTATATTATTAAAAAGTGTCCGAGAAATCTGTGCCCATTTCTCCCAACTTCCCTGTACAAGATTAATCTGGTACTCACCAAACACGGCATGAGTGCCAGCAGGGCTAGTCGGAGCAGACTGCTCATCTTTCCAATGTTGTCACCGAGCTGAGAGGCCAGCTGAAGACTCTGTCTATATGCCACAGAGGCCTGAGCCAGCAGACCCTGAGAACGGTACACTTCTGCCAACCACTGAGAGACAGCAAGATCAAATTAACAATGAGTAAACCTTGTTAAACCTCCTTTCTATATAAAACATAAAAACATTTGTTGGGTTTCACTGAAAATCTCCTGTGTGATTTAATAAAGTGTGTGAAACACATTCAGACCAGGGGAAACCAAAAAGGCAGCATTTAAAATTAAATACATATAACATAGCAAGATGCACATTCGCATTGACTTTTACTATGAAATCAATCTTGACACCAAGCTCTCCTCAGTGAGATGCTGAATGTACATACATGCCAGGCGGACACAGATGTGTGGTTGGCCATGACAGCAGCGCTGAGCTGATCCAGCACCGCAGGAGGAACACAGTTACCGGAGTCAGACAACAGGAGGCGCTCACACTGAACCTGCCTTAACATCAGGAACACCACAGGTTGCTCTGGAGATACACTCAGAACCTGAGAGAGGAAGAGGAAAGTATACAAACAGTTAAATGGGCATAAAGTAATTACATGTTTAAGTGTTACTTCCTAGCCAGTATGACAGCATTAGCTTCTCTGCTTCTTACCAGCTTTAATGTCTTATCAAAGTCAAAGTCAAGTCAAAGTCTGCTTTATTGTCAATTCTGCCACATGTACAGCAAATACATACAGAGAATTGAAATTGCATGGGCGGGGCTATCATTACCACAGGTTGACTGATGTGCAACATATGTTGATGTTCCAAGGAAAATATCAGAATTTGAGTTAAGCTTGTCTGATATTTGTGCTATTAAACTTGCAAAACACAAATGTCATGATCTCAACATGGTGGCCACCAGGAGTGGGGGAAGGTGGGTAAATAAAAGAGCTTTTTCAAAGCCACTGATATGACTAGAGTCATGTGAGTGTACATCATTTTAAACATATTTTTCTATACCTTTAAAAGACTTGTGACTCAATGTATATTTTTTTCGTCATACTCAGGAGGCTTTCTAGTATTGCAACACTGAAAACGGTAAAAATAAAATGGTAATTGTTACCTTAAAGTTGTCATGAACTTAGCGACCAAAATTCCATTGATCTTTTGACATATACGAGGTCACTGTACTATAAAAATATCCTGCAAATTTCAGAACTCAAAACTTTCTCGTTAGTCTAAAAACAGCTTATATCGAAGCCAGTCTGCTTAGACGACAGCTTATGGAATGTATGATTATAATGCAATAGTGTGGCTAAACACTGCCTCCGCAGAAGAAGATCAACGCCTGCTTCTACATCCCTGCCTGTTTAGCCTCGCCCACCGATTTGTACATGTAGTGTTTACGAGAGAGGCGAATGCACAGAAACCAAACGATAAAAGATGGCACCGAAGACAACAAGATGCTGTGCAGTGCCAAGTTGTGGGGGATAAAAAACGGTCTTTACATTGCCTTTCTTCTGATCACAACATTAGGAAAAAGTGGATTAACTTTATTTTTACTGAAGATCCAGACCGCGTCAGTAAGAACTTGGTCCTTTGTTCACTTCATTTTACCATGGATTCGTTTACAAACAAGGCACAATCTGACGCAGGATTTTCAGAAAGATTGAAACTAAAAGATGATGCTGCGCCGACTATATTGGATCCGGCAGTAATGTCGCAAAACACACAAGTGTGAGTAACTGTCTTTATTACATGATCACTATTGCATTTGATATGAGTATTTATGTGTTTTAACATAAATCACAGCAGCGTCCATTTGTAAGGACGTAGGCTGTCAAACATACACAACTATTAGCCAATCATAGCAGTGGGCGTTTACTTTTGAGTCTACAATCCACCACACCTATTCAAACAGAGCATTCAGATGAGGGGAGTTAAAAACAGAACAGAAAATAGCCTATTACTTCTAAATTATGTTTTTGATGTAAAAATCTTGATAACATTATAAGTGGACCTCAGAGAATAGTACAAAATAAAAAACAAAGGCATTTCATGATTCCCTTTAAAGATCCACTTAGATCCAACCATTAACAAATACTTTCATTGGTGAAACCTAATGCAGTCTGATATAAAATAGCATTTTGAGTTGTATAAAACCAGTTAATTTTGATCAGTGATTTTCAACCGTGTTCCTGGAGGCCCTCGACACTGCACATATTCAATGTTTCCTTTGTCTGACACCTCTATTTCAAGTTTTGCGGTATGTGTCCATTGGCAACGAGTGAGTGGAGCAGAGTTTCAACTCTTTTGTACTGGAGCTATGGGATTGACAGTGAATTGAAGAACCTGTTTAGAGCGACCAAGAGCATCTAACTGTTGGGAAAAGCTCAAATTTATGCAAACGAGAAGCATCAAACAGCAGGCAGCAGCCATTCACTGTGAGAAGCATGTAGTGACTGTCATCTCTCACGAGCATTACAAAATCTGCCGATTTAGTTTAAATCATAGTTTACATATACTATTTTTCATTTAGATTTTAAATGCAGTATCATGAATTTTCATTGGCTAGGACATTGGCCCTTCAGGAGCAAGACTGGACACTCCTGTTCTACAAATACACCTCAAAGGGGAACAGCTCAAGCATTATGAGCAGATAGACAGCCACAATATATGGATATTAGACAGATGGTGCCGTGTCAGTGCATGAAACGGTTCTGCTTTGAAACCCAAGAACAGGTCAGCCTGTCTGTGTCTGGACCTGTGCCCGATTCACACAAGAGAGACTCATCAGTAGGGGACAGCGTGACATAGAAAGAGAAAGCATGCGTGTGTTTGTGTGTGTGTGTGTGTGTGTGTACCTGGGAGCAGAGAGTCTCTGCCTGGTCATATTGGCCACTCTGTTTGAGTCCAGTCACGGCCTGCTGCAGCACCCATCCCTCCAGAGCCTGAGCCAAGAGCCCATCCTCTGCCTGCAGGCCCTTCACTGAGAACAGACCGTACACACAGCACACATAGTTTTAAAACCATGCTCCCATCAGCATATATTCAAATACACTGACATGACATTCTCAAGTCTCACTGACCTTTTTCAGACACCAGAGTCATGTGCGCCCTCTCCAGATCTTCTCTGTGAGGGGCGGAGCCTTGGAGTAAGCATGCAGTGTTCTCTGTGTGACAGGCAGCCATTAGCCCCGCCCACCCAGCAGGATCATCTGCATTTGTCATACAGAGAGAAAGACAGAGGACACATCAATCCATCACTGAATCACTGCCATCCGACTTAGGCAGCAGACAAATCTTTCATCTGGCTGATATATAATTCGTTGATAATACAAATGATGCATTAGGACTTGCGTTTACTGACCTAATAAACTCTTTTGGAGTCAAGCAAAACGTCACCGGGCCCACTCATCGTTTTAATCATACGCTAGATTTAATTATATCGCATGGAATTGATCTTACTGATATAGATATCGTACCTCAAAGCGATGATGTTACTGACCATTTCCTTGTATCGTGCATGCTGCGTATTACTAATATTAACTATATGGCTCCGCGTTATCGTCCGGGCAGAACTATTGTTCCAGCCACCAAAGACAGATTCACAAATAACCTGCCTGATTTATCTCAACTGCTCTGTGTACCCATAAGTACACATGAACTAGACGAAATGACTAGCAACATGGGCACTATCTTCTCTAATACAATAGAAGCTGTTGCCCCCATCAAATTGAAAAAGGTAAGAGAAAAAAGTACTGTGCCATGGTACAACAGTAATACCCATTCTCTCAAGAAAAAAACTCGTAGTCTTGAGCGCAAATGGAGAAAAACTAAATTGGAAGTTTTTAGAATTGTGTGGAAAAACAGTATGTCCAGCTATAGACAGGCTCTAAA